TCTATTCTATTCTATTCTATTCTATTCTATTCTATTCTATTCTATTCAGTATCCTCTTCTCAAAGAAGATGCAATCAAAATAGAAGAGGAGTAGTTATTCTTCTTTTTATTACCTTAACAACTAAAAAATAACTTTTCAAGATAATCTCAAAATCCAAAATGGAATATATGAGAGGAAGCAGTCCTCTAAGTGTGAGTATGTCTGGGTGGAGTCAAAGGCTACTGGTAAATAGGGAACAATCATAGGTCATTGTTCTGTCTCGCCTTTCCTCTTTCCCAAAATATGAAAGAGTACAAACTCACACCAACACAGGCAGGCAAGCTGGTTCGGACTTCACAGAGTTAATTCTTTGGAACTGATAATATTCTTGGCATTCCCACATGTCCTGCCTGCCAAGTCCAGACTGATAAAGTTTTACTCACAGAAAATCACAAGGCAGTCCACAAAAATAGTCATTCACGAAGAAAATCTGAAGTAAGGTTAAACTTTGTCCCATACAAAGTTTCAGGAGAAAACACACCCACTTTTATCCCCTGTGGGGTGTGGCTCAATGACTCAGCTCACTCTCTGACCCTCCCACACCTCCTATGTTGCTGCTCATGTTTCTCCCTACGACGCTGCTTAGGATCGAGCCAACACTCTTCCTCTTTACTCCGTCAGAGGGTGCTCCGATATGCCTTCCTCCTGATTAATCTCAGGCTGTTCCTCTCGGTTGTCTGATGGAACCTGAGGCATTATCAGGGAGGAAGGTCCTGGGGAGGAAGGCATTGCCAGAGAGGAAGGTCCTGGGAAGGAAGGCATTCCCAGTTCCTCCTCCTCATCTTCCAGGTCTTCTTCCTCTGACAGCATAGGCTCGGAAATTGGGGCCACAACAGGTCATTAAGGTAACTGGCAGAAAAAAATTCTGGCTCAGTTTATTTCTGGATCTCTTTTGCTATCTCTTTAAATACTGTCTGCTTGATGAGTCTTCTTAAACATGTAAGAAACATGAACTGAATTTACAACTTTACAAAATGTCAAATGGATTCATTGCAACATAAAATGAGATACGTATTACCATTTGTGAGGCCAGAAGACTAAATTCCACTTTTTAAATCCAGAATGTGGGACTCTACTGAATATTGAGCAGAACTACATAGAATAAGCTAAGTACATCAGAAAAGTAGACTATATTATCTTCATTTTCAACAGCCTTCTTCAATCAGGATATCCTCCAGATAACAACCTTCAAGTCCCAGATTTCTTAGCAATGACTATGTGAGTTCTAATATTCTACTTTTAAAGGTACACATTTGGAAGTACTCAGACCAAGCAAGTATAGCTTTCAATAGAGTGCACAAAAAAGTTGTGGGTTAATGATATTTTCTTTCTATCATCTTATCAAAATTAAGTAAGTCAATGCTATTCCCTAATAATGAAATAGAGCTTCTTTTCCCAGGGTCATCCAGCAAGGCCAGCTTTAACAATATTAATATTGACTGACTTTGTTACCACTAAATAAAATATAATAAAAACAGATCAATCCAGGAGGGACTTTTTTGGAATGCTAAGATAAAAAGAACAATAAAGAATGCCAAGGAGAAATGAAAAAATCTACCTGGCCAAAGTGTAAGATTTATTATAAAAATGTATTGCACATAATTTCCCTGTGTTTTTAAAAGAGAACTCTGTGCTCAGTTATTGTTATTTCTAATAAAAAGAATCTTTAAAAGGCATTTTTCACATACATCTTTTTTCAAAGTATAGTGGAAATATAAAAGTACTGAAAACACAAACACACACACAATCAAGAATCCATCTTAGTGAATTTTAGAAACTTTCAGGCTAGTGAATAAATAGAATCCATATAATGAAACTCAGTCTTCTTAAATTAATTATTCCTATCATGATTCAAACTGATTCAATTTTAAATATATTTATCTACTATATAACACATCAATTTAAATTCACTTGCTTTGTGATCACAATCTCTTAGGGAAAAGATTTGGGAATGAATTCTTTCTAATTTTATTACTTTCAGTGATAATGAGGACAACCACTAAAAAGAGATTCCTTAGTTTACCAGTGCAATTTTTAGTCTCCATAATTATTTCAGCATTACAAATCATTAGTCACAAAATGTTACAAAAGCCTACACTATGTAATTCACTCCCTTTAGTAGGCCAACACCAAACATTATTTTTTTATTCAAGGCTAAAAATATGATACTTAAAAGAGCAATAAAGTAAACATGGAAGCATAGTAATTTAAGGCTTAGAATTTAAAGTAAGCACCAGTGTTTATCAGCATCGAAACGGTGGTATTTTAAGCTTCTAACAATATTCAGCTCCATCAATTCAGGTTCTATTAACTAAAAGTACAATATGGGGTTTTAACCATATTGTACAGTAAACTTTTCAAAACACTCTTAAACCCTTTACAATGCTGGAGATTGGCACTTAATTATCTACCTTGTATTATATTACAAATCAAAGGTGGTCCAAGAGATGCAATTAAGTGCTCAGAGAGCAACTAGTTATAACCTACTGTATTGTTCTTATTCCCAAGCTTAGCATTTTGTGAAAAACACCTGTTTCAGTCAAAATGCAGACATGCCATTGGCCTAAATTAAGGGTTGCAAATTGTTTCTCTAGATTTGTTGTGATCATTTGTTTTATTGTATTTGGTTGCTGGTACTCCTTTCAAATTTAATTAAAATATACTACAAAGTTTGGTCCAAGGTTCATTTATCAAGGAAAAAATGTTTTGACTTCATATACGTTTAAAGATGTTAAATCTAATGAGGTTATATATATTACAATATTTGTACATATATAAAATGCTGCTGCTGAGCATACATACATAATCATTTAGAAAACAATTATTAGCACAAACTTTATGGAGGCAATGTGTTTACTAAGCACATTTCAATTCCCAGGCATTATAGAGGATACAGAAGCTCCCATGAAAATGGAAATTGGATAACCTTGATATAATAGTATAAGTTTTCTGGTTCAGGTTAATTCAGAATTTTGCCATTTGAATACTATAGAAGCAACTACTTAAGAGATATTTATTTCTTTTCTGAATATTTTAAATGCAAACATCTTGACTATTAACTATTGAATTACGGGTCAAACTTACAAGATTTCAAATACACTTTTTTTTGAAAAATCAAAATCTTGAAGAGAGAAACTTTGCTTTTTACTGAGCATTAAACTTACCAAAGCAGACTTGCCTACACCACCTGAGCCAAGGACCACTAGCTTGTACTCACGCATGATGTGGTCTATTCAAATACTGAGAAGCTGTAAAAGAGAAATTAGTAATTAATAAAACAAAATTTTGCTATGCTGATATACTTCAGCATATTTTGTAAAGACAGCCAGTTACTGAGATATATTAATTTGTTTGGTTATAAACAAAAATATATAAGGTTTTCTAAGACATTTGAAAAGACTTATAATTGACAGTAAGCACTGTTCCTACTTTTCATCCAAATCTTCTAAAATGCACAATAGAAGAATGGATTCATTTACGGTCTGTAAAGACCAAGATATTTTGATTAACATATTTACTTTTTTTTTTAAAGTTTTATTTTAGAAAGTTGATTAGCTGATTAAATGCTGGTTTATTTCAACTTCTTGCTGGACTCTAATTGCTTTTTTTCTTTTGATCTATGTTGTTTTGGATAACCTCTGTCCCTTGCATATGGAAAGCAAGGCAACATATTTTAATTTTGTTTTCAATAACATAAAACATATATTTAAAAAGAAGTTCATTTATGTAACTTTTATAAACTGAAAAACTCACTGTATATTCAACATTTCTCTCTATTTGTTTTGAATAGTTTTGTTGCAATTTACACTAGTATTTAAAAAAGTACACTAGTATTAAAAAAATACACTAGTATTTAAAAAGTACACTAGTGTTAAAAAAAAAACCAGGAGAATCTAGGTGTGCAACCAGTTACATTTACATGATGGACTGCCTGCCAGACTCTAGGAGCATGGAGTATGGAAATAAACAGTTAAACAAGATAACTGAAATCAGTTCAAAAAATATTCCTTAAACTTATAAAGGAATAAATGTGACAAAGAGATGCAAAGCAACCCTGCCTTAATAATGTTGCTGGGTATATGTTGAGTGGGAGAGTCACTTTGATAGGCTTTCAAGGTTCTGTTAAAATACTCTACCAGCAATAAAGATATTTTTAAAAATTCAAGTGTTTCTTCTTTCCTGAGCTTTTTAGCCTTATCGCACTTGACAGATTGTGAACATGCAGCTGTTGTAATGCAGTTAAATAACAGACAGTTAAAGTAATGGAAATAAAATGAACAAAACAAAGTAAACCCACTTTACCATCACTACTGAGTCCAACTTTCAAGTATCTACCGTGTTTCTCATATAATAAGACCGGGTCTTATTTTTTTTTGAGCCCCGAAAAAATGGCTAGGCCGTCTTTTCGGGGGTGACTTAATTTTTTCCCCCCCTTGCATCTTCGGGTGGGCAGTGACGGCTTGGATGTTGACCTCGGTGTTGGTGGGGCACTTCGTATCGGGGTCAACGCAGGTAGCACCATATCCAGGTGTGCAACAAAAGTACTTCCTAACAGCAAGCCCCCCCACCATTCCCCCCATTTTGCATGTTTTAATATAGGCCTTAATTTGGGGGGGGAGGGGCTTAATTTCATTTCATGCCTATAAAACATGCTGGGACTTCCTATTGGGGGAGGCCGTATTGTTGGAGAAACAGGGTATTTACTTCCAGGCCCTAAAATTTGGATAGGGTGATATTGATAAAGAAAGAGACTGTGCCCCCCCCCCCCCCCCCAAAAAAAAGGGGGAGGGGAAGGGAAGGAAAGGGAAGGGGAAAAAACTGAGGAAGGTAGAAACAACTAGTAAAACAGGGCTGTCAAACTCCTGGCCCACAGGCCGGATGCATCACGCTCTGGCCACGCCCAAGCTCAGTTTAGCAAAGGAGAAAAAAGTCCTGATACACATGATGCCACCGTGACAACATGAGTTTGATACCCCCGTAGTAAAAGTTCTGGTGACAGTAGGCCTAATCAGTAACTTAAGGCATGTATAAAGCAATATGCAAGCAATGAAAGGGCATCAGGATATATTACATTCTCCATGAACTTCACATCAGTAGTTTAGCAGGCACCCATCTGTATAGGGCTGACATTTTCAAAACGTACCTGGCACTGCTTTCTATATGAGTAAGAACACTGAAAGACTATTGGGTTAAAAAAAAAATCACAGGTACATGCAGCAAGGTGGAGCTCCTTATAGATTTGAACAGACTTCAGATTAAAATGCAATATATAACTATGATAAAAATGAATTATATATGTTTTCCCCTAAAAATGTCTATGCATTGATAGAGATATTATATTCTCTGTTATTTGAAGTGAAATAGTATGAATACAGCTCTGGCACATTAAAATTTTGTAGAAATAAGTAAAACAGCTAGATGTGAATTCCAAGACATTAACATTTTACTTTCAAATGCATTAATATTCACTTACATAATTTATGTTTCCACCCTCAGTTGCACAGAAGTATGTGCCATTGAGCAATAAAATTATAGTAGCGAGCTGCAAGCAGCTAGGATTGCTTTCATATTCCCAACAGGGAGTGATTTAAGCTTTTTTCTCTGTACAAGGTCAGGCCTCACTTGCCACTGCCAACTCAGAAATCTTTCTGTTCCTCAAAGCATTCTCTGTGCCTTTTTATGGAAATCTCTCGAGTTACTATGCTGTACCAGAAAAACCTTTCATTCTCTTCAAGATTACTTGACAAATATGGAAAACGGCAAAACCTATGATAAACATTTTAAAAGTGTTTATATTATAAACCAGCCTTCGCTGCCCCAAATGATCCCAGCCAAGTCATGACATCATTTACTAATTACCTCTTCAGCCCTCCCAAGTAAGGATTCAGAAACAGCAAAAGCCTCATCACACACACCATAATCCAACTTTGCTAAGAACACCGGATAAAATAAACTGTCCTGATCAATCTGAACACCAATATAGTCTAGCATTCTATTTCCAGAGTTTCCAGTAAGACTGTGCAAATCCCGTAAAGTACTTTCCGGCGTAGGGAAGAACATCTGCAAATACCGTAAAGTACTTTCCAACGTAGGGAAGAACATCTGAATATGACTCTTTGAAAGATGAAAGCATTCTGTCTTTTCTTACATTCATGTACCTACTTCATTGGCTTTTCCTGGCTGGCTGTGCATGGATCCGCATCAGCCACCGCATATCACTGGGTGCAAACACAAAAGCAAAATTGCTGTACATGCACATATACGTGGCATCAGCTAGGAACTGCCGCTCTTCTGTAGCTTTAAAACTACTTTTATTAGATCAACTAGTGACAAAATCTTGCACTTTATCTTCATTTGAATTAGGAATGAAAGTGTCTGGGATTCTCAAACTAGTTTTTTTGAAAGAACTCAAGTCCCACTTGTCTGATCTTTGCCTTAGTAGCAGCTCTTTTTCTTGTTCCTCAGGACATTCCCTACGCCCTCTGTAAGAACAACTTGCAAAATAGCTATCTAAGCCTGAATAAAGGCAGCTGTTTTAATGAATTGAATGATCAAGAAAGTGCTTCATAAGCACCTCTTTCAAAGGAACTGCAAATTCCTGGAGGCCAACAAGATAGAATGACTACACAAAAAAGTGTCATTCCCTGTACCTGGGTTCTAACAACTGATGAGAATCATCAGCACTGGAAGAATCAAGATAGTAACTTGGGTTTTGCTTGAGCTGAGCTGAAGCTTGTTCATCCCAGATTACCACAGCTTCCAGATACTAAGAACATGGATATAATCACTTGATCAGCTTAAGACAGAGTTAGGTGTCATTAATGTATTGATAAGGCCTGACAAAGGACTTCACCAGCAGCTTCATGTTGATGTTAAATAGGAGTGGGGAGAGAATATAACCTTGAGAAATGCCACAGGAAAGGGGGACTAAATTGCCACATATGGGAAAAGTGAGACAAATTTAATACCATTATGTAACTGGTCAAAACTAATTTGTGGTCGCAGATTCTTTGAGTTGCAAATAGAGGCATATACTGTAGATGGAATTGGCCAGAAAATACAATTCTTCAAATGTTTCACTGGTTTTTATATGTGTGTCATTTAGTTAGTGGGTCATGAAGAAGATAACAATTATTTGCTTGTGCAGGCATCAAGTCAACTGTTCTGCCTATTATTCTGCTGGCTGGCAGCTATGGAAAGAGCAGTGAAGTTCTGAACAATGACTACATTGGTTCTTCTTGAAAGAATGGTTTGCAAAAGAATCTTCTGAATAGCTGTCTGTCTAATGTGACATTGTGGTATACATTAGGAGGCCCATTCCTAGCCAGCAAAATAACTTGGGTGAAAGTGTGTCATGTAATTATTAAAGGAATCTGATCTTGAGGTTTTTTTTAAAAAAAGACAATGCCAAAGCAAATTGAAAAATGTTCAGCTGTTAGGTATTATTTCTATTGCTTTGCAAGACTGAAAAAGTCCATGAATAGAGTTTAAATCCAAGTTTTATTACTCTGATCTATGCAACAAAACCTATTTATGGAAATAAGAAGTGACAAACACTTAAAAAAACTTTCTACCTAAAAGGCACTTCCAGACATAATATTTCTGACAGTTAATAACAGAACGAATTCAAATACAGAATTCAAACAAATTGTGTTTTTCATTAGTCATCCATCCTCCATGAACTCCACATTGGACAAAAACTTGTTTTTGAAACAGGGAGACTTTTAATAGCTGGTAGTTATACAGGGCAGGGCATAAGTCTCTTATCACAACTCTGCCTTAAAATATGGGCCTTGTTAAAATATTTTAAATGTCAGCATGGATTTGAGTTGGACATTCAATATTGTGTCTTGAGCACCAAGGTATTAAAGACAGGATCAACTATAAAATCAGCAGTTGGGAGGCATGCTTTTTACAAATAAACTGTTTAACCATTTTGTGTTTGTAACTATTTTAACTGTTTACTTAAATTTTGTAAGCTGCCCAGAGTCTATATTATTATTTTAAGTCATAACAACTTAAAATAAAAATAGTATTTTACAATCCCTTTTATTTAAGAGGGAATATGACTATAAAGCAAACAACAAAATACCAAGGTAGGTCCTTCATATATTCATATTTGTCCTACACAAATTCTTCCCCAAAACATCTAAACTTTCCTTTGATCTGAGAGACACCTTTTTACCACTGAATTGCAGTTCTTGATTCGGGTTTCCCTATGAGTGGAATAATTCCACCTAGTCTCATT